GCGATACAGAATTGGAAACATGACCTTGAGGAAATGGGCAACGACCAACCGGGTTTGCGGGTTCGCGAAGCGATAGGACCGGTCCTTATCGATTGGATAAGTAGAAACCACGGTTGGGTCACTTTCCATGTAGCTCAAATTTTTACGAACCATGGCTGCTTGAACGAATTCCATTGTAGAATAAATAAGATAGAAGCGCCACTATGTTTGCAATGTTTTTCAGCGAATGATAATGCGCAGCATACGTTAGAGTTTTGTGAAGCCTGGAACGAAGAGCGAGATATTCTAAAGAATGTTATAGGTGACAGGCTTGATCTGCCCTCTGTTGTAGTGGCTATTTTAAAAGACGTAGGGAAATGGAAAGCTTTTTCCAAATTTTGTAGCATAGTTATGTCTAGAAAGGAGGCGGACAAACGCGAACGTCAGGCCTTAGATAGAAGAAGAGCGATTGACAACTTAGTCTCTGATTCGGATTGAGTTGTTCTGTCTTTCTCTTTATTGTACATATACTTTTAGTTGTTAGGTTAATTTTGATTGTAATAGATATATTTATATCTTTAGGTTAGGTTTATATAATAGATGTTTTTAATTTTAGATGTTTTATTACTAGATGTCCCGTTTAAACTATGATAGGGCCTATTAGGCATGGTCAAGGAGAAAGGTGGAGTAATGCTCCCGTTAGTAATCCTGCCTTTCTCCTTATTTTCGGCTCGAGAGGGGCGAGAGGTGAGTTTTTTAGCTGGTAGGTGGTCGAGATGATCATCGGGGATCCGGTGGAGCTGGGTAGTCATCGTGTTCTTCACATCCCTGCGGATATCTGACTATCCTCCCGCATGGATGTCGGATTCTGGTCAGGGTGGGGGAAGATGGCCCTAAGGGTTCTGCTGGGTTATTCCTAATGCGAGTCTCGGTCGAATCCAGCACTACTTTAGAGTACGGGCTCCTGGGTGTCTTTTGAAGATTTTTCTCATCTCTGTTAACAAAAAAAAAAGGTTAGGTTAAGGCTCCTCCTCGTTGTGCGCCACCTTGTCGTGATGAGGGGGCTCACCGTGAAATGGCTCGCTGGAGTCGTTTTACGGTGCTAAGAGCGCATAGTTCCTTCTTCGGAGGGAACGGGGGTCCGGCGACCTTTCTGGGACTTGTCCCGATTCGCCGGTAGGGGTTGGCGGCCCTGGCTGCAATCGCCCGGATGCCTGGATCCGTTAGGAGTGTTTTTCACTCCACCGGGATAAAGGAGTAAACCTCGAGAAAAAATCTGGGGCCTGACCAGCCTCGTTAGCACGCCGGTGTTCCGGTATAACGGTCGGCCTCCCATGGCACGTGGGGAGGCGTGGCGTCTCATACCGTAACCCCAGTTAATGAAGCCGAGAGCCGGTGCTAGCATAGCTAGGACGGGCCGCGAGGGTGGTAAAACCTCTATAAAAAGACCCGGGCAGGTCGAGCTCGTGAGCCCTGGGTGGGCAGTCGACCTAGGAGACGGACACTCCGATAAAAAACCAAAAAATGGGTGGGGGGAGGTGCGTAGCTCTCCTCCCCAGTCGTTCCCGGACTCTGCGCATTCGGCCATGGGTCGTCCCTCCCCGTCGCTCGCGCTCACACACACACACACACACACACACACGCATACACACGTACACTCTTGGCCCCCGTACTGGCTGGGCGCCTTCGCCGATGCGAAGCTGCTCGGAAGTCGGGGGCCATGCATGCATTCGGCGGGGGGCACCCACGCATCGTGGTGATGCGTGGGATGCCGCTTCCTGTCCTGCATACACACACACATTTATTCATCTATCACGCACACTCATACATCATTCTTGCACATATACACACCTTATTCACCTTCATTCATGCCCGCCCGGATGGGGACCTTTGGTCCGTTTGCGGGCCGGCATGTGGTGGTGAGGATGGCGGCGGCCGCGTCGGGACGCGTTTCTCGGGGGAATCCGCATCCATTGCGGGATCGGAG